TTTGTGAAATTCGTCCCAGGGCGTGTGAGCACCCTCCACAGGAGTTGTAAGTCGATTGAGCTCGGGTAGGACGATGTATCGCAAGTAAAAATAAAAAGCTATTTCGCATAGCAGCCAGCTGCTCAGGAGCAGCCCAGCAACTACTTTGAATATATGGGAAGAGAGCAGAATCCCGGCAATGCTCCTGGCATTTTCAAGCAAGAGGGAGGAGATCGAGAGGCATTCCATGGATCTTGCTTTCCTATGGGGAATAGGGACACGGAGCAACGTCAACGAGGCCAGAAACACATGGTGGGGGACGGGCTTGAAAGTATCGCATGACATCAGATTGCCCCAATCTCAGTTCGTTGGACACCTGAAAATAAATCCGTACAATTTTTAAACGAGTTACTACCAAAGCGCTACATGATCAGCAGTCGCGCATTGTCGTGCACTGAATGAGCTGGTTTTGCCATGTGACCATACCCAGGTCCGACACCCCTCTTGTGTCAGTATAATCCCACGACTGACCTGGATTGGAGAAAAGGGACAGGAGATGTGCCTCCAGGACTCAGCGAGCCGATAGCAGCGTTAAGAATATGATGTTGCTGTGCCTCCAATGACAGAGACTGCCTGGTTCCACACAAATAACACCTTCGACGCCCGACTTAGCCTCCGCCCTTTCCTTGTCCTGTCTCCTCACTCCTACGTGCGCGGTGGAAAATGTAAGTGAGCAAATTGTCTATGCAGTGCGACACAAGAGGATAGCACGCTTTCAGATCCATTCTAAAGCAATGGATCATGGTCCTTCCTTCTTTTTGGAGGCGCCGTGTAAGCCGCAAAGTCGCGGAGCAGCTCAAGGGAGCCGCGCACGTCACGGCAGCCGTTAGAAACCGTTAAGGGAATTGGGCACTCCGTGTTCGCCTACATTTTCAAGGAATATACGCACATTTGAGCACTGACATCACTGTCCACATTGTATTGGTACCACCATACAGGAATGGGCGGGTTGTTTTCTCGACACGGACGTCACCATGGTGGGAAGTCTCCTAAAAAGCCCGTCCAAATCACGGACCACGACAGGGCAGTGCTGGACCTGAAAGTAGCAAAAGACAGGCTGAAGCGTTATCAGATGAAGATGCATAGTGAGAAGATGCGCTTGACGGAGAAAGCGAAGGAATTGGTGACTGCGGGACGAAAGGATCGGGCGTTGCTCGTGCTAAAAATGCGACGCCTGAGGGAAGATGAGCAGGCCAAGGCGGCGGGGCAGCTACTGAATGTTGAGCAGCTCATCACACAAATTGAATGGGAGAGAGAACAACTCCAGATTTTCGACGCTTTGAAGAGCGGAAATCAGGCTTTAGAAGCCATTCACAAAATTGTATCTCTGGAGGAAGTAGACAAGCTCATGGCGGACACGGCGGACTCCATCGCGTACGAGCAAGAAATATCCCGCCTCCTCTCCAACAACTTGTCCGCGGGCGCAGAAGAAGAGGTACTTAGGGAGTTCGATGAGCTGCAAGCGCTAATAGAAGCCCCGGAGCACACTCCTGTGGAAGCTGCTCCTGGAGCTCCGACCGTTGTTAGTGCGGACATGGCTTCGAAAGATGCCAGCGAGCAAGCCGAGATAACCGAGGCTACAGAAGCAGGATCTAGTCTGCCCGACCTCCCCGAGGTACCGAAGCATGAGATTCTTACCAAAACAAATGTTGATGTGAGAAGGGATAAAATCTCGAAAGAGACTACGTCTGGAAACGCCCGAGGGGCTGGAACAGAGGAAGTGCACGTACAAGAAAAGAAGGCCAAGGTGGCGGTCAGCGGATAAGGAAAGACCTACATAAATCGTGTTAACACTTGCACTGCATCTTTCTCCTTTTTCTTGATGCTTTTCATTTCAGCGATCGGGCTTCTCGAAAGCTATGGCGCCGTCCAAGGAATCGCACTGTGCACTATACGCAAGAAATTTAACATTTACATTTCAAATACGTCCCCGTTCCAAAAAGGTACAGTACAAACCCGAAAAGAACCTCTCGCCACTCCTCTGGGGGTTCCCTTGTCAGGGCACTCTGGTCCGTGGTGGGGAGGAATCGCGCGGCATCGACCATCGCGACGACTTGTCGTCTTTGACTAGCTTGGGGGTGATGACCAGGTCCCTGTCTATCTCCAAAATGGCCCCGTCATTCTTGTGTTGGCCGCAGTAATCCGTGGCGGAGAAGACGGTGATCAGACGCTGGTTGGCGAAGAACTCGTAACCATGACTCACCACCTGGTGGGAGCGGATCTAGCGGGAATAGAAGTAAGAAGGCAGGGTGCGTGATCAGGGCATTGCGGAGAGGAAATGTATGGCGACATTTTGGAAGAGAGGGCCCATTAAAGATGAGATCTGCATGAAGTTATGTGCGTACTAAACACGCCCTTACCCCTGACGCTTATCCAGGAGACGGCATCAGGGGGAAACAAAAACAAGCCATCCATCCTTGAGCCCCTGCAATCCCTATGTTCCGCTCCCTCTACGCCCACCCTCCCTCGCTCACCACCACGTCGAGGTCGTTGGCCCGACAAAAGGCTTCCACCCTGTCCGGTCCGAAGAGCGCTATCCCCGCTCCCCGCGGGGAGGCGTGCGTGCCTCTCACCACGTCCGAGGCCGTAGGATCAGACCACAAAATATCTCTAAGCAGCTGTCCCAGTGGCTCCTCCGCGGATTGACCATCGTATATTGGTCGTCGCAGGTTACGGAGTTGCTCGAGCGAGTTCAGGCTGGCGCCTAGGCCCCCGTGAAGGACCAGAATGCGCCCCTCCACGCAGGCGGCCAAAGGCAGGACGTCGAAGAGACTGTTGCACATCTCCCACAGCAAGACCCCTGCCTGCTCGCCCAGCCGACGGACACACTCTGTTTTGAATCCGAAGAGCGCATTGACAGCGCGGCTTTCGTGGTTTCCCCGTATAAGATACACACGCCGCGGGTAAGCGACTTTGATGGCAAAAAGGAGCAGAACAACGTCGCAAGAGCACGGCCCGCGATCGACGAAGTCACCATTGAAAATGTAATCAACAAGGTTGATATCTACGGTGACACAAGATAGATGCGACAAGGGGATAAAGAAGGTGAGCGCCTTCAGAAAAATGTGACCCCATCAGCGTCGTGGGGTGGTCTTTGCCAGCAACTTGATTATGTGATTATCTGACTCACGTCACGGGACAAAAAGCTTACTCGAAGATCAGTCCGGTTATGGGGTAACCATGTTGCAAGGCTTCTACTGTCATCCCAAAAAAGCTCGGATACATTCCCCCGCGCTTACCTCCAAAGCGATCGGGGCGACCGTACGCTTTGAACAACCGCAATAAATCATTCAGCTGCCCATGAATGTCGCCAAATATTCGCGTGGGCGTTCGAACTTCCAGCACCGTCGGCTCGGTCGCCAAGAGGGATTGCAACTCTTCAAATAGCGGCTCCAGATCGCTCAAGCCCTTCAAAGCCTCGAAGACGCCACGTTCAGGCAGAGCTTCCTGCCGATTAGGATCCCAGTCTAGAAGCAAGCGTATGATTCGATGCGCTGTTTCTTGCCCGGCACTCATGGTCCTGAAATCTTTTTCATATTGCTCTCCATTTCTGTGTGAGTCGTAAGTCGAGTTCATCCCAGTGCGTGCCAGCTGCCTATCCACTTCATCACAACTACTCTCGTCGCCCTCCCTCCCTCCACTTGCCCTCCTTCCTTCCTGATGGGATAAGGGCGCATGATCCTCGTGTATCCGGACAAGTTTGCGGTTGGTCTTCTCATGAGGAGACATGGAGTACCGCTGCTTGCTGACGTCGAAACAAATTTGACGAGAATTGACCTTCACCACAGACGACGACGCTTGGCCGACGTGTGCGCAAAGGCCATCACTGTCCTCCTCTTTACCGGTACTGCAGCTTGTGGAGGTCCTCGCTCCGTCGCGACACCCACCGGAGGAGGGGCCTGAAGACGAGGGGGAGGCAGAGGAAGGGGTACGGGATCCATCCAGAAGCAGCCGTCGGCGCGCTTTATCGACATGGATCACCGACTGAGGGGTGCGAAAAAGAACGCCGGTGCCCTGGAACTTCATGGTCTCGACTGCAGAGACGAAGTCCACCAGTGAGCAACGCCCTCCTTTGTGCCATTTCCTCGCCTCTTTCTCCAACACCTGTGGGTCGCACCTCCAGCCCGGAACGCTGTCCTTGCCCTGGTGCAAACGAGCCATGTCTTCGACCACCAGCTTGAAGTCTTCGAAGGCCAAATCCCCGTCGTCGTTCAGGTCATAGGCGCGAAAGATGTATTCCGCCCGAAGACGGCGCCACTGCCCTGTGTTGGCCGTCCCAGGTTCCATGGCCACGAGCCCGACGAGGAAGTCCTCGAATGTTAACGTGCTTGGCACATCGATGGCTCTCCCCTCTGCCATGGCATTCTGGTGCTGCGGTTCATTTGTGCAGGTGGCATGCCTTGCTGGTGACCGCCATTCCGCCTGGGGACGCCGTCTGGACGCGAAGGCGACAAAATATCGTTCACACACAAAAGCCTCTTCGACGCCACACAGGCCCATGAGCCGAGTAAAAGCAGGGACAGGAAGTTGGAACTGTCCATGTGTGTAGGCAAGGAAAAGCTCGGCAAGCCAGCCGACCACGTTATCCATAAAAGACGGGCCCAAATCTGCGCCCACCAACATGTCGTGCACCCCCGGACTCAAGAGCAAACGGCGTACGAGTCGGTCTTTTCCACCCCCGGGTGCTAGCATGGGCAACAGGGGCGGATTCCTTTGTCCTGATAAGTTTGGCTCGTTGTGGTCTGCAGGAGCAGAGGGAGAGTAAGCTTGGCCAGGGAGGGAGGCGGAGGGAGGGGAGGAGAAGTTGGAGCCTCCAGTGCAAAGTGGATCTACTGCGACGAAAATGACGGTGTAGAGCTCACAATTCATAATTTGTTGCCCCTCGTTCCACTCAGAATTAGAAGGATCATCGAGTAGCAATGTCTCCTGTAGAAGGCATTGCAGGAAGACGCCGTGCGAGACGAGGAGGACATGGCGCTCCGGACGCGGCAGCAACTCGTGCAAAAACTTCCGAGCGCGACCACGCACCGACTCCAGACTCTCTCGCTGGCTTGCAGTCCAGAGCTGATCTTCCTCCGACAGCAGCGAGAAGTCAACGGTGGGACGGAAGGCAGCCTGCAGTTCGGTGGCATTCCGGCGCTTGTCAGGAAGAAGGACACCGTAGGCCTCCCGGACAAGTTCGACGGCCACTATACGCGTGGACTTTCCTTCGGTTCTATTGTTGTCCTCATTTCCCACTCCCGCATTTTCCGGGCTCATGATGATCGTTGTCGTTTGTAGCGCACGGGTTAAAGGGGATGTGATGACAAATTGCGGCTGCAGAGCCTGAATCGTATGCCTGGCGGCATGAGCCTGTGCCACACCTTGTGCTGTAAGGCAAGCATCCAAAAGAGAAGCGGGCGGCAAGTCCTGTCCATTTGGTTGGTTGTGTACCGCAATACCATGCCGTAGTAGGTGTAGGACTTTGAACACTGCAGGGAGCTCTTGCTGGTCTCCGAAGCGATGATCAACAGCTTGCGGCTGGGGGGCGCGGAGAGGAAGTGACGGCCGCTGGGATGGGGTCAAAACTGACTCCATCAACCGGATTAATGGTCTCACAAGGAAAGTCTAATTGTACACCCACATGGCATAGACTTGATGATTCCCTTCAAGAAAAGCTGTGGGAAGCCATGGAATGAAGTTAATAGTTCTCACACGTAGTGGAGGAAAGAAATATGCCGATGTGCCAAAATGCATCCGAGGGTTTGAACCTCGTGGAAAACAACGCTTTGTAGCCCGTTTAACTTTTTGGCATCATGGGCCTGTACGATTCTTGCAGGTATCGCGCATGACCTTTGCAAGTTTGAACCCTAAGCGGCGTGCTTCGCGCCTCAGCCTTCAAATTGTTCGCTAACGGTAACGGGTGCCGCAAACCGTTACGAGCCTCCATTTCCCGTGTGCTCTTTTCCTACAAAATTCCCACGCGCGAACGACTCACGCCGACAATGTGCACACTGTTTATAATTTTTCAAGAAATTATGCCGCAGGCAATTTATCGCTCCAAGCCCCCGCTCGCGCAGCCTGTAGACCCCACACTTTTCGGAGTGAACCGCAATCGGGAAAACAATCCTTGCAGCCATAGTAACCAGGGGGCTTCAACCAGTCCGATTGTATTGACAGCCTCTCAATTAGAAAATATGAAAAAGCGTGCAAGTGGAAAACCTGATGGAGGACTTTTGAAATCCGTCTTCGGCAACCGGCACTCGAAAGAGAAACAATCTGGTGCGGATGAACGAAAAAATAAAATGCTTGCGCTTGCTGCTTTGGCGGATCAATGCGAAGCCAAAGATGATAATGGAAACTGTAATTTGACTCTAAGTGCATCTCAGGCCCGGTTAAAAAAGATTCGCGAAGAAGAATTGGACGTGGTCAAACACCTAAAGGCCTTGGCGGCGCAGGCGGAGGCTTTTACTTTGCGTGACCGGCAGATGGAAAATAAAAGGATGGCTGCGGAAAAAAGCAAAATAGATCAGTCTAGAAATGACTGTCTCGTGGCGGAGAGTCGACAATTAGAACTCGATGGCGCTTACGCTGAGGCCGAAAAGCTTGCCTCGGCCAAACGAGAAGCACGCGAGGCCTTGGCAGCTCAAATGCAAGCTATTGAAGAAAAAAGAAAAATAGAAAGGAAGGAACGTGAGGAGGAAGGCTTAGCGTTGCTCGCTCAGTTTCAATCATATGAAGATCAAGACGCAACCATTCAGCGTGAGAAAAAGACACAAATGGCAAATCTCCGAGAGGACATTCTACGGGCAAACGCCGAAGCGATTGAAGCACGGACTGCTGCCTTAAAACGAGAAAAAGAGGAAGTGGCAGAGCTTTTTCGGTATCAAAAACGCAAAGATGCTGAACTGGAAGCCCGAGAAAAACAGGAAGCAGCCCGTGTCCATGCCAAAAAAATGTGGCAGATGCAAATCTTGTCTCAACAAGAAAAGGGACGAAGCGATAAAGCGAGGTTGGAAGAGAGGCGTCTTCTTCGTGCCGCCGAAATGAAAGAAGCTGCCACTTGCCGTCTGGAGCAGGAGAATGCCTTGCGTCGCAAGCAAGAGACCTTAGCTCTGAAAAAGGAACTGCTCCGTCAGGCCCAGGCCAAAAAGATGCGAGCCGAAGAAGATGCGTTCGCAGAAAGATTGGAGACCGAGGTAAATGATAGCTACGAAGATAAGATTAAAAACCAGGAATTAGCCGAGCAAGCCAAAAAAGCAAGCCTAAACAAGAGTCACCTCGAAGCCTTGAAACATCAGGTTCAGGAGGCCGAAAGTCGACGGCGAGCAGAACGAGCCAGGAGATTTGAAGAAGGGCGCAAGCTAAAAATGAAGGCTAAAGAAGAGCTAGCAACTCTTGAGGGTATTCGAGGCCGCTTAATAGAGGGCCTTGAGGCCAAAGGTGTGGCAAGTAAATATTTGGCCCATATACGCAGAGCAAAGCTCACACCAGTTTAAAAGGAATTATAATAGATCCCTTGCCAGCGGAAAAGAGTTGACAGAAAATCAAAAGCATTAGGCAGATTAAATTTCATACATAATCATGATCAAATGGTTCAGCAAAAAATCTACATGTTTACTTGCGGATGATGTTCAAGGCGGGAGGTCGAAGCCCGTTCCCCGTGACTCTTGAGTGGAACGAGTTCCCCGTAGCATACCCTCACGTTCCATCGCAAAACAACGACAAAAATTCACACTATGGATGATTTGCCAGTGCGTCGTCGTTTTATTGTATCATTCTCATATGTGCCACGCCTGTGGGGCATGGAAGCTGTCTGCCTGTGTCAATTTTTTTCGCTGGCCTATCGTCTGGGGCGTTGAGGGATGCTACTAGTAGTACTACTTCAGGAACAGTATCACGGAGCTGCGGAGCTCAATCTAGGAGCATTCCGAGGAACGAGATTGAGAATCGACTCGACCCATCACAACCACCAATACAACCAGCATAGTTAGACAGAGCTCCCACACCTTTACGGCCATGGCTGCGGGACGGGGCTTGGACGAGGCAAGCTCCCATGCTAACACCGGCGGAGCATCGACTGCTCTCCTGTTAGGAATCGATCTGTCCACGCAATCCGTCACAGTCGTATTTCTCGACGCGGGTACGAATCGCATCGTCCACATTGATACCCTCAATTTCGACCGAGAGTTGCCTCAATTTGGAACGTCCGCGGGATTGCACGTTGGTAAAAATGGCAAGGTGACCAGCCCTGTACAGATGTGGTTAGTCGGTCTCGACAGGATCTTGCGACGTCAAGAACGGACTCTCATGGGTCGTGTTAAAGCCGTGTCAGGCTCGGCACAGCAGCACGGAAGTGTCTTTTGGACTGCAGACGGACTGGCAGCCTTGCGGTGCATGGCGCCGGCAGACAGCTTCTCGTCCAATCTTTATGGCGGCTTTGCCCTGGAGGACTGCCCTACATGGGCCGACTCCTCCACGCAAATGGAATGCGACGCCATCGAGTCCGCGACAGGTGGTCCCGGGGCAATGGCGGCCTTGACTGGCTCGCGGGCTTACTGTCGCTTTACGGGCCCTCAGATCGCCCGCGTGGCCCGAACGGAGCCTCTCGTTTGGAAACACACGGCCCGCGTCTCTCTGGTCTCTTCCTTTTTGACTTCCTTGCTTGTGGGACACCCTGCGCCTGTGGATGCGTCCGATGCATCTGGCATGAATCTGATGAACGTGCGGACCTCGGAGTGGTGCGAGGAGCTGCTGGAGGCCACAGCTCCGGGGCTGGCGGCCCGGCTTGGGACCATTGTCAACCCCTGGGAGAGCCTGGGGCCCATCTCTCCGTACTGTGCGGCCCGCTTTGGCTTTGCCACGGATTGTTTGGTCATCCCGGCCTCGGGCGACAACTCTTGCTCCGTGGTGGGGACGGGTCTGGCCTGCGACCAGACAGCTTCGACGCTGATGGTCAGTCTGGGCACCAGCGACACCCTGGTAGGCCTTACGCGCTCGCCCCGCCCGGGCCCCGAGGGCCATGTCATGGTCTCTCCTCGCGGACCGGACGAGTGGTTCGCGATGCTCTGTTACAAGAACGGGGCCTTGGCCAGAGAGGCGGTGCGAGACAGCGTGGCCGGCGGGTGCTGGAAGAAATTTGACGACTTGGTGGCGTCGGCGCCGCCGGGGAACGATGGGAACCTGGCGATGACGCTGGTAATGGAGGAAATCGTGCCTGTGCTCCCTATTCGGGGCAGTTTCCGCGTGGACGCACAGGACGAGCCCGTCGCCGCCTTGAGCGAGGCCCACGAAGCCCGGGCGGTGGTTGAGGCGCGCTTCCTCTCCATGCGAGTACACGCTGGCAATCTGGGTCTGCCCACGGCCCCTTCCCGCATCATTGCAACCGGCGGAGGGTCAATGAGCACGTCGCTCACGCAGGTGCTGGCCGACGTGTTCAATGCCCCGGTCCTGGTGGCTGATTCGTCCGAGGCGGCGGCGGTGGGGGCCGCCTTGCGAGCGGGACACGGGCTCAAGTGCAAGAAACAAGCGCGGTGGGTTGAGCTTCTTGCCAGTCCCCTGAAAGACTTCAAAGTTATGGCAACGCCGAATGCTCAAGCTGCAGCGGCGTATCCTGCCACCTTGCTGAAGCGTTTTGCAGCTTTTGAGCGTGGATTAGTTGCAAAAGCGCAAAAGCATCCCCAAGCGCAGCAATCGAGAGGATAATATACATATGGTCAATCTGTGCTTTATTTTGCCATTTTATGAGCACCGCGACAAGGATTAGAGAAGAGGATGGTTTTCGCGGGCAACAAAGGGCCTCCAGGTTCTCGTATATATACGAGTTGTGTCCGACTTCTAGGGGTTCCCGTGGCCAAAGCATTACCCTGTCTCATATTAGAGTTGTGAAATTTGCATACATTTGTACAGAGGAAGAACATGATGGTGTGATCGCTGGGGTCCATGCAGTCAGGAAAGCCAGGCAGAGGTCGTTAGATCGTGTCCAAGAGAGATAAGCAAGGCGTCGAGCCTCTGGTATTCATGGCACTTAATTCCTGCTTCTTTTTCCATGACAATCTGGGACGTTGACATATGTATTGTGATGTAATGAAGCAAATATCAGATTTTTATCGCTCCAACGCCTTTCACATTAAGTTTTCTTTCCTCCCACTGAGATCTCCCTCGGATATGTCCTGGCGCGGGACTAGCTGAATTGCCGCACTACGACATAAAATACCAAGGCGATCATTTTCCACACCACGCGACATGATAAACAATGTCTACACAAAGAAAAAGTGAGTAGAGGCATAGATGTCAGTGCAGTCGCTCCTTCTATCATGAGGTGTAGGGATGACGCAATGTTTTATCCCTCCACGAGTTGGCTTATGGCGAGCAAGAGACGCTCTGCTACGAAAAGTGCTATCGCTTTGGGTGTAGAAATGCCCCACAGGGCACTCCGTGAAGCAAGCGGGACTCTTCAGTAGACATGTCCTCCTTCTTGTCTGTGCAAGCTCTTCGAGCTGGGTGGGAAATTCCCTCGTGCAGGAATGCATTCGGCGGCTTGCCTGCGTATCCACAACAGAGCGCGTCTTACCACATTTGCTCGATCTCCGGGCTTGCTCGGACATGCCATACACGACAAGT